GCGCCCGCAAGATCCAGGGCTACCAGTGGGTGGACGGAGCCCCGCTCAGCTTCAGGTGAGGGAAGGGGCTTGGCCAGGGGCAGGCCAACCCCGCGGCAGTCCTCTGGGCAGCCACCAGGAGCCCCTTCGGGGCGGGCAGTCTAGCCGTCAGGAGCCCCTTAGGGACAGGCAGTCTAGCCATCAGGAGCTGGCTGAAGGACAAATTCTGGGCGTTAGAAAGTTATATCCCCGGTGCATGCTTAAGTTAGACCCCCAGCGCGTCTAGAGGAGACCCAAGCAGACAGGCTGGACCCCAGGGGCATCCTCAGCCTAGACCCCAGCAACACCCCCGCCAAACCGCTGCAGCTACTGGAACCTGGGGGAGCCCAATGACGCTCGGGGGAGCGAGGACTGCGTCATGATGCTGCACACGGGGCTGTGGAACGATGCCCCGTGCCGCAACGAGAAGGACAACTGGATCTGCGAGAAGAGGCTCAACTGTTGAGCCCACCGGTGTCCCTGAGCCACACCCTCCGCTGCGATGGCTCCAGCTACTCGCCTTCCTGGCTTTGCCCGCCACCATCGGGCCCCCCCGCCCCGCCCCACTGCCGCCCCCACGACCACTAAGAACTACCCACCCCACTCAGGGAGTGCAGTGCCTGTGCTCCGGGACCTCCTCTCCGCCCTGACCACTATCCCTCCCGCGGGAACCTAACTTTACCCTCTGCCTCTTCCGGAACCCTGGCTCCTGGACCCGATCGGACCCCACCTCCCTCCGGAGCCAAGACCACGTCCTGGGAGATGGAGCTGTTTTCTTGCATTTTTTCTTAGACTGGGAGGCCTCAAAGACAGGGGTCTTATGAACTGCCCTTGAAGCCCTAAGGAGCATCAATAAATGTCTGAGATATGAATCTTCGCTCCTGGCTCTGGGGAGCTCTTCTAAGCTTTATGCCAGAGACCCCGACATGATACCTGTGAGGGACCCCAACCTCCCCGAGTGACCTCATGGCTCGAGGATGCTCCCAAACCCAGTGAGTAGTCCTCACCGGGCCAGGAGGGCTGTGGGGCCCTGGGGACATGGGAGTGAGTCAGACCCAGTCCTTTACCCCCACTACCTCCCCCACCGGGGCTGGCTCATTCCACTGCCCCTGGGCACAGGAGCAATCTGACCAGTGACTCAAAGGAGGAACGCAGGGATGTGTCCCGGGGAGAGGGGCTGTGCTGGAACACCAACACCGAAGGGCTGGCCCCTGTCCTTGGAGATTTCAGGCTCCTGAGACAAGGCCCTGAGGCAGGTGTCGGTCCCTTATGTCTAGGGCGCTTAGGTTCTGTGACCACTTGGTGGAGCGATCAGAAAATACATCCCAGAGAAGATGGACTCTCGAAGAATGAGATTTCAGCACATGGAGCTGGGAAGGGAAAGTCTTGCGGGTGGGGAGTGTGGGAAGGTGTTAAGGATGGCTGAACACATTTGGGGGGTGCAGGGTGCCCCCCAAACACGGGAACTCTGTCTCTGAATTCACCCTGTACTCCCAGTTTCCTGCCCCTGTCTTGGGGGCTGGGGGCTCTCCTGGAATTTCCAATGGAGACAGGTCTAAGGGTGTGACAGGCTAGCAGCCTTTACGTCCGTGTAGAACTGAGTTCAAGTCCAAAGCTGCTTGAGCCCTCGGATGCCCCGCCCTGAGAGCATCGACTGAGCTGGAAGAGGAGAGAATAACACCCAGACGGCCTGGCCAGGGGCAGCCTTTCCGTGGTGTAACCAGCCCTTCTCTGGGCTCTACAACTACAGCTCAGAGCAAGGCACTGGCCAGCCCCAGGTGCCACCTGACTCCTGGACAGATAGCCTACTGAGGGGACTGTCAGCCAGACAGGTAGCTTTTCAGATGGTCAGCTGGGAGGAGTGTGTGAGTTTCCTAAGGTCACTGTAACAAATGACCACCACTTGATGGATTAAGACAGCACTTTCTGGAGGTCAGAAGCCCAAAATTAGTTTCACTGAGTCAAAATCAGGGTGTCCCCAGGGTCAGGCTCCCTCCGGAAGCTCCAAGGAGAATCTGTCTTGTCTTCCGGCTTCTTTAGCTGCGTCTCTCACATATTCTGGCTCATGGCCTCTTCTTCCATCTCAAAGCCAAAAGGGCAGCATCTTGCTTTAGTGGTCCTCTTGCCTTCTCTGGGTCAATATCCCTCTGCTTCCCTCTTATAAGGACACTTGTGATTGCACTTTTAGGCCCAGCCTTATAATCCAGGATGGTTTCCTGCAATGCAATTGTGGCACTAACCACCCCAAGCTAGTATAGACAGCACCCACAGATTAAGGGCACCGTTCCTAACAAGACTGCCCTAACTACAGTTTGGGGGTACCTGGGCCACCCATACCTCTGACCAATTGATTCTTACCAACCGATACAAATTCAAAGGATCTCACTATCCCCTCCAAATGAGTTCTATAATTTGCTAGAATGGCTCAGAACTTAGGAAAGCTCTAGACTTTCAGTTTTATTATAAGGAACACAAATTCAGACTAGCCAAATGAAGAGACACATAGAGCGAGGGCTGGGAGGGTCTCAAACATAGAACTCCCATGTTCTCAGGACAGATCACCATCCTGGCACTGATGTCCAGAGTTTGTATTGGGGCTTCATTATGAAGGTGATTAATGGAATCATTGGTCATGTGATTGCACTCCAACTCCACCTCCATCACCTCCCCGGAGGTTGGGTGTCTGAAAGCCCCACCCCGCATGGTTGGTCTTTTGGGCATGACCAACCCCCACCCTGAGCCATCTCCTTGCTATAAACTCAGGTATGAGCCAATGGGTCCCCATGAAGATCAGAGACATTCCTAACACTTGAGAAATCCCAAGGGTTTAGTGCACCTTGCCAAAAAACAGGGACAAAAACCAATCAAATTCTTTAACACGTAACATCCCATCTCTAAATCCCTAATCGCATCTCCAAGTCTCTGTTGCTATATGAAATAAACCAGCAATTGCCCTAACCGGTTTGGCTCAGTGGATAGAGCATCGGCCTGCGGACTGAAGGTCCCAGGTTCGATTCCGGTCAAGGGCATATACCTTGGTTGTGGGCACATCCCCAGTGGGGAGTGTGCAGGAGGCAGCTGATGGATGTTTCTCTCTCATCGATGTTTCTAACTCTCTATCCCTCTCCCTTCCTCTCTGTAAAAAAAATCAATAGAATATATATTTTTTAAAAGAAATAAACCAGCAATAAAAGGACAAGCACTGTATTATTTCACTTACTTGATGTACCTAGAGTAGTCAAACTCATAGAAATAAAAGGCAGAATGGTGGGCGCCAGGACTCTCCCGAGGTGTGGGGAGTTATTTAATGAATATGGAGCTTCAGTTTTGAAAGATAAAAAAAACTTCTAGATTGGTCGCTCAACAATGTGAATATATTTAATACGACCAGAGATCGAACCAACAGCTTGGTATGTTCCCTGACTGGGAATCAAACCTACAACCCTTTGGTGTACGTGATGACACTCTAATCACTGAGCAACACAGGCCAGGGCCTGAATTATCTACTTAAAATGGCTAAGATGCAAATTTTATATTATGCGTATTTTATACCACAATTTAAATGTTTTAAAAATGCACGCATTTCAAGCTCCAAGTCAGAGTTTTGAGAAAAGTATGCAGCTGTGTAGTCACCATTACATTCCAGATACAAAGCATTTCCATCATCCCCTCAAGTCCCTTCCCTTCCCCACCCCCGCCCCAGGCCACCAGGATCTGCTGGCACCACTGTTGCCTAGACTTGTCTTTCCTCAAATGTCCTTTAAATTGAATCGCCATATGTTGTGATTCGTTCTCTAGGCATCATATCTTTGAGGTTTATCTACACTGTCTGTGTGTCCGTTCACCTGTTGACTGATGTTTGCATTGTTTCCCATGTAAGTTACTATGAATTAAGCTGCTGTGAACATTCTTGTACAGATCTTTTTATGGCTTTAAGTTTTCACTTTTCTTGGCAGTGAGTCAGATAGTAGATGAGTGTTTAACTTTTATAAGAAACTGTCAAACCATTTTTCCAAAGTGTTTGCACCATCTTGCACCCCATCAGCAATGTCTCAGGGCTCTGACTGCTCGGGTGGGCACTTTTGACCCAGGAGACATTTCAGCAGTTCTAGAGCCCGGTTGAGGTGGAGTCTATCTAGAGGAGGCAGGAGGGAAGGAAATAAAGCGGGAGGTTGAAGCAGATAATGGGGAAGGTAGGAAGCTGGGGATGATATGTACCTGACAACATGTGTTGTCATGGGAAGACTGTGGGACTTGGGAAACAAGAGGTGTGTGTGGGGGCGATGTCTCTGTGCTTTGGAACTGTAGCCCCTGAATCATGACTAAGGAGGCTGGCAAGAAAAGCTGGAGAGAAGGAGCGAGATCAAGTCTCCTGGGAACAAGAAGCCATTTCATTCATTCATTTATGCAATGAAATAATTTGCATTCATTCAATACAATTACTTTCTTATCCACAGACATTTCTCTAGTGCTTGTTAGATTATTATACACCAGGCATGGCATGCAACAGAGAACAAGAGGTCAGGATCTCTGGACCCGCAGGATTCTGAAAATACTTAGGCTGAGCGGGAACAACCATCCACAAAGTGGTGTAGGCGCTAGGAGCCCGTTTATGTGAAGTTCTAGAACAGGCACAACGGTGCGAGCTGGGGAAAGCGTGGCACCGTGGTTGTCAGGGAGCAGAGGCAGGGCTTTCCCAGGAAAGGCCATGAAAGAACTTTCTGGAGTGATGGGAATGTTCTGCGATCTCGATAGACATTTAATTACAAGGTGAATGCATTTGTAAACGCTCAGAGAGGCCCAGCTGGTGGCTCCGTGGCTGAGTGTTGACTCATGAACCAAGAGGCCACGATTCAATTCCCAGTTGCGGGCTCAGTCCCCAGTGGGGGAGTGTGCAGGAGGCAGCCGATCGATGTGTCTCTCTCATCAATGTTTCTCTCTCTCTCTCCTCTCCTCTCTCTCTAAAATCGATTTTTAAAAGCTAAAAAAAAAAAAGCACACTCGTGGGATTTGTGCATTTCATTCTAAGTCATTTTACTCAAAAGGGAAAAAAAAGTAAGGAGAGTGGCAGACATTGGCCTTCAGTTCATGTTCCGCAGGCTGGACTATTTCAGGGGGAGGGAGATGGAAGTCCACAACCAACTTTTTTTGTTGCTGACACTATTGCAGATGTTCCCATTTCCCCCCACTTTGCCACCTTCACTCAGGGGGCCACCCTCCCTCCCTCGGCCCTCGCCACACTACCGTCTGAGTCCGTGCACTATGCATTTATGTGCTTTAGCTAATCCCTTAATCTCCCTTTATCCAGTCCCACACCCCCCCTTCCCTCTGACATTCGTCAGTCTGTTCCATGTACCCATGCCTCTGACTCTATTTTGTTCATTAGATTCCACAGATAAGTGAGACCATACGGTATTCGCCTTTTTCTGACTGGCGTATTTAACTTAGTGCAATAATCTCCAGGTCCATCCATGCTGTTGCAAATGTAAGAGTTCCTTCTTTTTCACATCCACGTAGTATTCATGGTATAAATGTACCACAGATTTTTCATCCACTCATCTGCTGATGGGCACTTGGGCTGTTCTGACAGGTGTGAGGTGATACCTCATTGTCGTTTATATATACATATACTTTTATTGATTTCAGAGAGGAAGGGAGAGGGAGATAGAAACATCAGTGATGATTGAGGATCATTGACTGGCTGCCTCCTGTACTCCCCCCCACTGGAGATCAAGCCTGCAACCTGGGCATGTGCCCTTGACCGGAATCGAACCTGGGACCCTTCAGTCCACAGGCTGATGCTCTATCCACTGAGCCAAACCAGTTAGGGCTAAAACTCAACTTTAAAAAAAAATGTTTTTATTGATTTTTAGAGAGAGAGAGAA